TTTCTTGATATTGAGATACAATCCATCCTGAAGGATGCATTTCTTGATCTTCTACAACAAGTGCTTCAAGTCCTCCTCACTTTTAAGCAAGTAAGGTTGTGTCATCTGCATAATGCAGATTATTGATGAGACTCCCTTCAATCCTAATGCCACATTCCTCCTCATCAAGTTCAGCCTCTTGAATAGTTTTCTTAGCATATAGATTGAACAGGTATGGAGAGAGAATACAATCCTGACACACCCTTCACAATTTCAAACCATGCAGTGCTCTTCTGCTCCATGCTCCCCTGCTCCATTTGCACAACAACCTCCTGATCCAGGTGTAGGTTCTGCATTAGCACAGTCAAATGCTCTGGGATTCTCATTCTTTTCAATGCCAGCCACAGGATGTGCCATCTACTTCCTAAATATAAGGCTTTTGAAAACTCTATGAACACTAAACAAAGGATAGTTATCATAGTGTAGTTGTAGAGCCCATATTGAAAGTCAGTTGAAATGAGGAAAATCAATAACAAACCTTGTTTAACAATTGTTACATGGAATATACATAGCTTAAATTTTGGAAAAGTGGAAAGTGTTAAAAATTAAATGGAATGCATGAATGTTAACACATTAGGCATTAGTATGATGTGATGGACCAGCTATGGCCACTTTAATCAGATAATCATATGGTATACTATACAGGGAATGTAAAACAAAACCTACTGTACAGCTCTATTAACCAAAATAGCATGATACTAGTACAATGACAGACACACAGACCAATGGAGTAGAATCAAGAACCCAGAAATTAACCCATCTATGGTCAGCTGATATTTGACAAGGAAACAAAACCCATGAAGTATAGAAATGACAACCTCTTCAATAAAACTGGACTGCTATTTGCAGAAAGCTGAGGCAGGATCCACACCTCTCCCCATACACAAAAATTAACTCAAAATAGATCAAACACCCATGGATAAAGCCCCAAACTATAAAGGTATAAGAGACAAAATGAAACTAAACCTAGAAAGGCTAGCCCATGATTTAAAAAGGTTCACAAAAACAGCAAGAAATGCACAATCTGGAGAGGATAAAATTGATGAAATGGACCTTTTAAAGATTAAGTCCCTGTGTGTATGAAAAACTTCAACCAGAGTGAAAAGAAAACTACTGACTGGGAAAAAACATTTGACCATACCATTTCGGACAAGAACCTCATAACAAAAGTTTACAGAATTCTACAGGCCCCCTACAAGAAGTAGACTGATAGCCCAATCACAAAAAAGGCAAGAGACTTGGGAAAAGACTTTTCACAGAGGAAGACATTCAGATGGCCAACAGACATGTAAAGAAATGCTCAAAATCACTGGCAATAAGAAAGATGCAAATAAAAACCACAATGAGATACTATCTCACCCTAGTAGCAGTGGCAAAGTTTAACAGGATAGCAAGCAAGAAATGTTGAAGAGGATGTGGAGGGGTAGGAACTCTCATACACTGTGCGTGGGATTATAAAATGTTACAAAATCTCTTCCACTAAAACATAACCTAGAACAGTGGACTTTGGTTCCTATATTTTGCTTTCATTTTCCAGATGGTGGTGAACAGCGTCAAGGTAGATGTCATTTCTGTGGTCTATGAACACTGTGGCATAACCCTGGAGAGCCTGCTTGCTCTGGTAGCAAATGCGCTGGATGGACAAAAGGCACAGAGCATCGGGATACTGAGTGATGGAGATAATAGACAGATCAACTTACTTCAAGGTAGGACTGTGAATTGGTAAAGAGCAGGCAAGCAACTTCCACAAACACAATCCTCAGAATTAAGTTCTAATTTGTTAGAGTGGTAATCTTGTCTTCATGAACAAAGGGAAGCCGTTTTAACAGCAGCAAATACCAAGATCTGTAAATTGGTATGCACTAGTTACATATGAGTGGAGCTCTGGTGGCATAGTGGTAAGAAACTGCACTGCATCCCAAAGGCATGTGGTTCGAATCCACCAGATGCTCCTTGGAAGAAGGATGGGCAGTCTCCTCCTGTGTGATTAGCTGCCTCTGAAAATCCACCGGAGGGTCAGCTATGGATCGGGTCCTACTTGACAGTACACAATAACAACAACAACACGTGTGGCACTCACACTTGACCAAGAAAACCCAATGAACCAGTTCTGCTCTGTAAGACACGGGTTTGTTGTGAGTTGAAAGTGATTAGGCAGCAATGATTTGGGTGTTTTTTCCCCTTAAATCTCTTAACTGGCAGAGAGGTATAAGCTGCATATTTATTTGTACTGTGGTAATAGATTGGTAGGAGGAACCAGTCCTTGGAGAAGGC